CCAAGATCTACACCAGTGACAGTGGAATGCTATTCGAACTGGAGAGGGAACAAACAAAGAGAGTGATGGTAGTCAGAACTGAGGGGATTGCAAAACCAAAAGGGAACATTGCAGACACTAAGAATAGCGAGAATTACAGGGCAATCTCACAGGGATGTGGGAATCATGAAGCGGCTGCCAGGAAAGTTGCAACCACCAAATACCCGCAGAGACTAAGGCAAGTCCAGAAGAGTTAGCTGAAAGAGAAGAATGAGATTTAGGCAAGTAACACCTACACCCTGCTGGAATATATGTCTGAAAGGGGAGATAGAAACCACTAACATCAAGACAAGGCAGTGCCTTTAAGAAAGGACCATTATGTAGATAACCCTCTTCACATATTTTCCTGCGGCATGAATAACACAAGAATGTCATCCTTCTTTCAGCTACATTGCTGTGGTTTCTCCAACTACACTGATTTCATGGGCTCTAACTTCCAAAATGCAACTGGAGGCAGCCTGCCTTCCATCTGTTGCAGGACCAACAACAACACTTGCACCCCAGCCCAGGCAGAGTACAGCAATGTGCAGGTAAAATTACCACATTATACATTGTGCAGCTTTGGCATGAAAACAATGACAATTCAAACAAGCTAGTGTTTAGCAGGAATACTGTTTGCCATGCTCTGTGGCGTTCCAGGTCCAGTTCACTGATATGTAGCAGACAACTGCCAGCTACATATATAGCTGTTAGTGACCACTAATTAGAATCAAAATAGAATCAAAAGAAGTGAAAACAAATATTCTGTCATGCTATGAAGTTGTCTGGGGACTGTGGGCCTGGAAGTAAAGCAGGTTTCCTACTAATTTGAAAGTTGGTAGTTTGATTGTCAGTTCCTCCGGTTCACATGTTGAAATATACTCGGCCGAGATTCTGATGGCTTTATATTAGAGTATGTGTGCTAGACAAGATGGTATGGCATAGAATGAAGCACTGTATGAATGTGTGAGTGATTGGGAGTATGAGACTTGTATTATTAAACTGCATTTTGAGGGTTTAATTCTAGAAGAAAAGTGCTATTTAAGTATGGTTGTTAGATAAGAACTAACTATAGAGACCAAAACCTGTAAAAGACCTTTTTAATGCTGTAATATTAAATATTTTTACATAGACATAAATGGTGTTAAGCATAAATAAAGTTTATATTCCTGGTATTGAAACCATGCCACCCACATTGTAGTTCATTACTGACACATGTAGTGGTGTGAAAATGTGTGGAACATCCTGCCCAATGACAACAATGTCCAGTAAAAACAATGGAAACTGTCTACTGCAACTATTTTTTTGTTTTTTGCCATACGTTTTTAAGCTTTAACATTTTTTCAGGTTAACTTAGCTTCAACTGAAGTCTCATTGTAGCTCCTGCATGGATTGAAATTCCACAGTCATTCTTTTTGCATAACCTCAGAGCTATGCAAACAAATGAAAAACACCAAAACGTCACTAAGATTTTAACAGTGGGGGACCATGTATGTCTAAATTCTATGACGGTAGCAACAGTTAAAATATTTGATTCTGGACCAAGTGTTGACTGCCCCAAGCATCTTGATTCTGGCCTAGAAATGTAGTGGATTTTGAGCCAACCATTATTTTGCAGTTTTGCGATTGTTATTTTTGCATTAGTGTCTGCATGAGTGTCAGCCATGCGTGTTATGTTGATGCATTAGGAATTAACCAGAGCCCATTTCCTATCAGGGCTGTTTTCAGCAGATCCTGATGATCATCAAAGAGAACGCTAGCACCATGGGAGGCACTGCTGCAGGAATTGGATTACTGGAGGTAAAAACTCATGCAAAGCTTAAGGATGCATTCAAAACCTGTTTATGTCATTCTGTTTGGACTCTTACACTTTTGTTTCTCCAGATTGCTGCCATATTGGTATCCATTAATTTGTACTGCCACCTGGATAACGAAGATAGCTGAGAGGTCTTCACAGAGAACATTTTGGGAGTGACAGATAATTTAATTAAAAATCAAATCTATATTAACATCACTCTTATTCTTTTTATGCAATAATTAGCTATAAAGTCATATTTATTATGTAAAAAAACATCATATATAAGTTTCTGTTAGAAGTAGTACACTTTTACCAATATCATCCTTGGTTTTCAATGTTGCCTTTTCAAAAAGAATGTATATATAAAATAAAATATTTCAAACATTTGTTGAATGTGTTTCAGTGTTGGGTTATTTTTTTCAACACCTTTTGGGTTTTGCTTTTTTTTTAATATCCACATTTAGTGGCCACAGTTTCAGATCTGCAACAAAAGTCAGAAAGTCAACTCAGTATAAGGACCTAAAGGTAGAAGCAAACGAAAAACTGTGAGCTGAAGAGGTTCAGTCAGCGAGCACCCAGAACAAAATGATTTAGTTTAACTAACAAAAACCTTTACCCATATTTACCCATATTTAGTGGAGAGTTGAACAAAAGTCTGCTGTGGAAACAAATTGCTTCAGGTGACATATGCTAAATGTGATGTGAAAGAAATGTAAATGGTGGACATAACATCATATTGATGATGAAAATGAAAATCTAAAGTACTGGAATTTACAATAAATGTTTTTTTAAAAAAAAGAAAAACATATAGATGCTAATTTCTGCATGGGTAAGCATGTTTGTGGAAGGTTTCATGCAGATCGCCTCTGTCAGTGCGCCCTAGGGTGGCTGTGGCTACAATGTAGCTTGCCATCACCAGTGTGTGAATGGGTGAATGACTGGATGTGTAAAGCGCTTTGGGGTCCTTAGGGACTAGTAAAGCGCTATACAAATACAGGCCATTTACCATTTTACCATTAGTCAACCTGTTAAGGAGTTCCAAGGGTACATACAGACATATGTACATAAATATGCTACAATCATATATAGTAAGACAATTAAGAAGTGTTCTGTTTGGAGAAGGGGAAGTACTGGATTCCTGCATAAAAACCTGATCCCATCTGTGACATACAGTGGTGGAAGAATGATAGCTTGAGCCTGTTTTGCTGTACAACACCAAGGACAGGTCAGTATGCTTGCTGGAATTGAAAAATATGTTAATTGATCTTAAGAGCATATTTTAAGCAATGAATTCAGGGAAAAGTTTTTTACATGTGCTTTTAGATTTAACAGCTGCTTTTGACACAGTGAACCACAAAATTCTTATTACCAGACAGGAAGAGTGGGTGGGCATAACTGCCTCAGCTCTGCAATGGTTTAGGCCCTAGTTCTCTGATAGGAGTTTCTGTGTCATGATGGATGATTTTCTTCCGCTGCTTCTGACTTCAACACAGCATTTAATAATGCTGATCACAACAATTACATACATCTAGTAGAACATGATGTAGGTATTAAGGATACTGTGCTGCAGTGGTTTAAATAAAATCTATCTAAAAGGATTTTTAGATAGGACCAATACCATTTGCATTATATATGATTCCTCTATGGAGTATAATTAGAAGGCCTTGCATAACAATGCCACATCACAAGAATGTGGATGACATATGCAGCTTGAATTGTTCATGAAACCACATAACATGCACCAATTATTTAAACTACAGGAATGTCTTAAGGACAAAGATGATCATTAATGTCCTGCTTCTAAATTCAAGCCTTCAGCTGATCCAAAATGCTGCAGAGTACTGATGTAACTTTTTGGCTTCTTCTCACTGGGTCCCTGCTAAATCCAGAATCAAATTTCTAGATGACAGCGTAGTCTGAATGTTTGTTTTCTCTGTATTATTGTAATATTGCAACTTAATATTTTTACCTTTTTTAAGACATTTTCCCTCTATTTTAATTTCAACTGTTTATTCACTGCTCTTGAATTAATGCTTTCAAACATTATCCATTAGCCTTGTTCAAACAGTCATTTATAACAGAAAAATAACAGCAAGAAGTAGAGACATGGCTGACTTTCAAATGAAAAAGAAACAGCATGTAAGATATTTGATCAAATGAGATCATGTTATATTTATTACACAGTTATACTACAAGTTGTAGAGTTCTGTATAAATTGATTGAGTTCCTTCTGTCATGGCTGCAGTTGTGTAGTGAAGTGAGAGTGAGGAGACCCTTAAATTTTCAGCAGGCACACTAATCTATAATTTAGATGATGCATGAACAAAATGTCTTTGTATGCTATGAAACATGTCACTCATAATGATGAATGCACAGAGAATTTCCATTCATCTCTGCAACTGCTCTTGTTCCCACAGAACCCCCTCATCTGCACCATTTCAAAGTTTAACATCTAACTGATCCGAGACCACGGGTGAAGATCCTTTTCTTTTACTTTTGTTACAAAGTCATTTGAAAATAATAATAATAATAATAATACATGAAAAATTAAAGAATACTATCACTGACATGCAATTCAATCCAGATCCCCCTTGTCATGCCCAAATAATCTGTGTTTCAAAAAAATTTCACAACGTTGAACAATGGTCCTTTAAAGAGATGCATGTCCTCTGCAGCATCTACAAGCCAAACTCTGAGGAGTGTAAAGCCTCAGATCTGTTTCATTTTGATTGCTGGCTTAAATATAAAGTAGAATTTAAAACGCCTCTAGAAGTCTGCCTACACACACATACATGCATCACAACATGTGGCTCTCCTTGAACAAAAGAAAAGACTGATGTCAGTGGGGTTAATCACCAAAAACAAACAGTTTAGCTGCAAAAGTTGGACCTCAAAGGATAGGAAGCCGCACTCATCCTTGGTCAGCCACAATGAATACAGAAATCCACCGAGTCCTGAGGATTTGCATACATTTCCCTATGTGGTTTTTGCCTCCCAGTTCCTTTGCATGCCTCTCATGGGAAATCTGGAGGCAGCTCTCTTCTCTCCCACACACACTCTCAGAACAACAAGAGCTTCTGGTTAATTCCATGAATATTATACACACAATAAATCTTTATTTATGAATTATTAAAATATTGTACAGTACAGCCTTTAGGGGGGAAAAAGCAAAAAAGCATGAGAGTGAGTTTAAAAAAAATCTTTATTCATCTGCAAGATAAAAGAAACTCATACATGTCAAACTGCATTCAAGTCTACAAATCCTCCTCTGTCACTTATACAAAGCACTTTCCAGTATCTTTAGAATCCTGCCACAGTATTAAATCAACTGTATTGCTATTGAAACAATGATTCAATTTAATTTAACCTTTGAAACCCAGAAAAGCAGGAACACCACAAAGTGAAACGAAAGAACAAACCAGAGGGGAAAAAAAGACAATTTGCAGAGATCTGAAACCAGAGAAAACACACTAGGACTTAAACTTAGAATGAACCACTGACGTTGGGGCTGACAGGTAAACACCTTCCAATCAAATAACTGCAAATACTAACAGAGAATTAAAATTCACATTCATTTGGTTAATGCGTTCTTACATCAGCTGGTAAGAACATGTCCAGCATCTCTTCCTCACACTCACACCTCTCTGTTAACATGGTTGAAAACTCCACGTTCTTTTAAAACATCTGGCAGAATATCAACATCTGGATTAAAAGTCAGTGTTTTTACACCTCAATTGGAACAAATATTTCAATTATCTTTTCATTTTTAATTGCCTGAAACATCCATAACAGTTGTTTGAAATGATAACATGACCAGTACAGAGTGAATAAATGCTTAGACAGTTCTATAGTGTGACTTTCAAAATAAATGTATCCATAAGCAGATAATACTTTGTTTGCTTTTGCATGTCTTACCATAAAGAATAACATTTTCTTTAAGGGTTGGGTTTCTATTTGACCACCAGTTAGAAAAGCTTTACAAGAGAAATCGCTCTCTCTCTCTCACACACGCACACACACTCTCTCTCTCTCTCTCAGCTGCATCTCAGGGCATTGAATGCGGCCAGTGAGATTATCAAATAAATCTTCTCACGTATTTACTACTCTTAAAAATGAAGAACACTGCAATTAGAAACTCAGATAAATATATGTAACGAAGATTTAGTACTCTTTTCACATTGCTACCTTCAGTGGATGGAAGTGGTGGAGCCTCTGGCCTCCAGGATGGTTGAGAGAGACCAAAATTTATACGCACCACTAAGAAATTAGGAGAGGAAAAAAATAAGTTTTTAACACATGCTGCTTCCAGGAAGTAGCTGGTTCCAAGTACCTGCCTGTTGTGATGTCTGACCCACAATGATCTAATTAATATATGACTAAAGTGCTAGTTTGGGGGTTTCATTTGGTACAAGCAGAGAAATTGACTCGGTTCTTTAGTGTTTATACCAGGTGTTCTTGTTATCTGAGCCCTTCTCCTACGTAACTGGATGGCTGTGTGAAAAGTAACAGCGTTGAGCTCAGTTTTTAGTAGCTTCAGTAGTTGAACACTGTTCGATCAGGAAACAGGGAAGCAACTGAACGTTCAGCACCTTATGCAGCTGCCGCTGTCTCTTGTATCTCAAAAACAGCAACAAGCACAGAAAAAAAGTGCGTCTGCTTCAGGAAAAAGCAAAACAAAACAACAACAAAAAAAATGCGTACACACGTAAATGGTGTGCTAGGATACAAATATCCTGAACTGTTTGTTTAGCACACGTTTGCATATTTAGATCTGATCCTAGACACGGATTTTCCTCCTTTTTTGGGGTACACAACAAAAAGGTTTCGTTCCTAATGATTGTTAATTATGATTTTCCAGTTCCTGTGTCAATTATTACTAGTTGGTACTGGAAGGGCCACGTGCTTTCCCCCCCCTGACAGAGCAAAAGCCAGTAGTGAACTATACCAGAAACAGATGGAAAAAGGTTAATTTACTTAAAAAAACAAACAAAAAAACTGCCCGAATTTAAAGTGATTTGTTCAATGTGCATCATTTTGTAGGTGAGCACACATTAACATCACAGCATTTGCAATTTCTCTGGTTTCAGATGCAGCACATGTTAAAAGTATGACTTTTCAGGTTTTTGTCTCTCAGCCACCTTTCGGATTACATCATCAAGACTAATCCGAGGCAAGTGATCTATACAGTCAATAACGGTACAAACCCATGGGGCTTTTACACTCGATATCTAATGCTGAGAAAAATGCCAACCTTTAGATTTTACACACACACACACTTACATTTTCTCATTGTAAAAGTCAGACTCTTAAAAATGCATTGAACTTGATCAAAGTGGATTTTCTTATTTAGAAAAAAAAGCACTAACTTTTGACAGATGTAAAATAAATAGAGATTCGTTAAAATGTATGTACAAAAATGGACAAACACTCAGTAGTTAAAATACCAAACTATAAGGAGCACTGCCTTCTTTCAGGTCAGTGTGTTTATGTCAGTTGTACTGTTCTGTCAAAGATGTAGCTTAGTGATCAATCCACAAAAAGACACAGCTGTTGGCAGCTGTACGCTGTTGTGGTTGAACAATCACAATTAACTATAACTAGTTTTAGCATCACTGCTGGACGGACTCACCAGTGCTGTTTGTAGTGTTAATTCTTCCTCCAACATAAAAAATAGACTCTGTGTCCCAGGTATCCTCTTGTACCCAAGACAGACCTGTAGCTCTGGGCCCCAGGCTGGATTATTAATGTTCGTTGATGGAGAGAAGTAGTAGTGTTAAGGCCAGGGCTTGTTGAAGTCTCTGTTTGTGTGTGTGTGTGTGTGTGTGTGTGTGTGTGTGTGTGTGTGTG